GGATTGCATTGAATCTGTAGATTGACTTAGGTAGTATGGACATTTTAACTATATTTATCCTTCCAATCCATGTGCATGGAATATTTTTCCATTTCTTTATGTCATCATTGATTTCTTTCAGTAATGTCTTATAGTTTCCATTGTATAGGTCTTTCACTTCCTTGGTTAAATTTATTCCTGGATATTTTATTCTTTTTGTTGTAATTGTAAATGGGATGTATTCTTGAGTTCTCTTTGTTGGCTCATTATTGGAGTATAAAAATGCAACTGATTTTTGTAAATTGACTTTATACCTTGCAACTTTGATGTAGCTTTTGATTATTTGTAATAGTTTTCCAATGGATTCTTTAGGGTTTTATATACATAAACTCATGTCATCTGCAAACAGCAAGAGTTTCACTTCTTCATTGCCTATTTAGATTCCGTTTATTTCTTTTTCTTGCCTAACTGCTCTGGCCAAAACCTCCAGTAATATGTGGAATAAGAGTGGTGAGAGTGGGCACCCTTGTCTTCTTCCTGTTCTCAGAGGGATGGCTTTCAGTTTTTCCCTATTGAGTATGATGTTGGCTGTGGGTTTGTCATATATGGCCTTTATTATGTTGAGACGCTTTCCTTCTATAACCATTTTATTGAGAGCTTTTTTTTTAATCATAAATGGATGTTGGATCTTGTCAAATGCTTTCTCTGCATCTATTGAGTTGATCATGTGATTTTTATTCCTCATTTTGTTAATGTGGTGCATCATACTGATTGAGTTGCAGATGTTGAACCATCCCTGCATCCCTGGAGTAAATCCCACTTGATTGTGGTGTATGATCCTTTTAATGTATTGCTGTATTTGATTTGCCAATGTTTTGTTGAGGATTTTTGCATCTATCCTCATCAGCAAGATTGGCCTGTCATTTTCCTTCTTTGTTTTATCCTTGTCTGGCTTTGGGATCAGGGTGATGTTGACCTCATAGAATGAGTCAGGAAGCATTCTGTCTTCTTCAATTTTTTTGATTAGTTTGAGAAGGAGAGGTATTAAATCTTCTTTGAATGTTTGGTAGAATTCTCCAGAGAAGCCATCTGGTTCTGGACTCCTGTTTTTTGGGAGGTTTTTGATTACTGTTTCAATCTCTTTACATGTGATTGGTCTATTCAGATTCTCTATTTCTTCTTGGTTTAGTTTGGGAGGTTGTATGAGTCTAAGAATTTATGTATTCAGGGGGCCGCTCCCATGGTCAAGTGGTTAACTTCATGCACTCTGCTTTGGTGGCCCAGGGTTTTGCTGATTTTGATCCTGGGTGTGGACATGGCACCGCTTGTCAAGCCATGCTGATGTGGCGTCCCACATGCCACAACTAGAAGGACCCACAGCTAAAATATACAACTATGTACAGGGAGGATTTGGGAAGAAAAAGCAGGAAAAAAAAAAAAAGAAGATTGGCAACAGTTGTTAGCTCAGGTGCCAAGCTTTAAAAAAAAAAAAGAATTTATTTACTCCTTCCAGATTGTCCAATTTGTTGGCATATAGTTTTTCATAGGATTCTCTTATAATCTTTTGCATTTCTGTGGTATCTGTTGTAATTTCTCCTCTTTCATTTCTAATTTTATTGATTTGAGCCTTCTCTCTTTTTTCTTAGTGCATCTGGCTAAGGGTTTGTCAATTTTGTTTATCTTCTGAAAGAACCAGCTCTTACTTTCATTGATCCTTTCTACTGGTTTTTTGGTTTCAATTTCATTTATTTCTGCTCTAATTTTTTAAAATTTCTCTCCTTTTGATGACTTTGGGTTTTGTTGGTTCTTGTTTTTCTAATTCTTTAGGTGTAATTTAAGATTTCTTATTTGAGGTTTTTCTTGTTTGTTAAGGTGAGCCTATATTGCTATGAATTTCCCTCTTAGGACCACTTTTGCTGATCCCATATGAGTTGGTATGTTGTATTTTCATTTTCATTTGTTTCCAGTTATTTTTTGGTTTCTCCTTTAATTTCTTCAGTGACCCACTGGTTGTTCAGTAGCATGTTGTTTAGTCTCCACATATTTGTCACTTTCTCAGCTATTTTATTATAGTTTCTTATAGTTGATTTCTAGTTTCATAGCATCATGGTCAGAAAAGACGCTTAATATGATCTCAATCTTCTTAAATTTATTGAGGCTTGCTTTGTTTTCCAACATGTGTTCTATCCTTGAGAATGTTCCATGCACTTGAGAAGAATGTGTATTCTGCTGTTTTGGGATAGAGTGTTCTCTATATATCTATTAAGTCCATATGGTCTAGTTTTTCATTTAACTCCACTATTTCCTTGGTGATTTTTTGTCTGGATGACTTATCCATTGATGTAAGTGGGGTATTAAGGTCTCATACTATTATTGTATTGTTGTTAATATCTCCTTTTAGGTCTGTTAATAGTTGCTTTATGTACTCTGGTGCTCTTGTGTTGGGTGCAAATATATTTATAAGTGTTATGTATTCTTGTGTCCCTTTTATCATTATATACTGACCCTCTTTGTCTCTCATTGCCTGTTTTATCTTGAAGTCTACTTCGATATAAGTATGGCAACATCTGCTTTCTTTTATTTGCCATTAGCTTGGAGTATCATTTTCCATCCCTTCACTCTGAGCCTGTGTTTGTCTTTAGAGCTGAGATGTGTTTCCTGGAGGCAGCGTATTGCTGGGTCTTGTTTTTTAATCCATCCTGCAACCCTGTGTCTTTTGACTGGAGAATTCAATCCGTTTACATTTAGAGTGATTATTGATATATGAGGGCTTAATGCTGCCACTTTATCACCCATTTTCCAGTTGTTCCATATTTGCCTTGTTTCTCATCCCATGTATTTTGGACTACAAACTCAGTTTGGTAGTTCTATATGATGGTTTTCTCATATTTATCATTTGTGTCTCTGTTCTGATTGCTTGTTTAGTTGTTCCCATGAGGTCTGCTTAAAAAACCTCATAGATGAGATAGTCCATTTTCTGATAGCCTCTTATTTCCTTAGTCTAAGTCAATTCCATCCCTTCCCCCTGCCCCTTCTTAGTTATCATTGTCACAACTTATTCTGTCTTGTGTTCTGAATTTGTGGCTAAAATGATGAGACTATATTTATTTTTTATGTTTTCCTCCCCTTTATCTTTAATGTTATAATTATTTGCTAACCTGTTCTGATAACTGCAATTTTCTGATTTTGTCTGCCTATTAATCTCCTTTCTCAAGGCTTTGTAAATTCTTTCTTTTTTTTTTTTTTCAAGTATGAGGGCCTTCTTGAGTATTTCTTTTTTTGAAGAAGAAGATTGGCTCTGAGCTAACATCTGCCACCAATCCTCCTCTTTTTGCTGAGGAAGCTTGGCCCTGGGCTAACATCTGTGCCCATCTTCCTCTACTTTATATGTAGGATACCAGCCACAGAATGGCTTGATAAGCAGTGTGTAGGTCCATGCCCAGGATCTGAACTGGTGAACCTCAGGCTGCCAAAGTGGAACATGCAAACTTAACCACTATGCCACCGGGCTGGCCCCTTGAGCATTTCTTAAAAGGAAGAAGGGGTCTTGTGGCGATGAACTCCCTTAGCTTTTGTTTATCTGGGAAAGTTTTTTTTGTTTTTGTTTTTGTTTTTTTTAGGACGATTAGCCCTGAGCTAACTACTGCCAATCCTCCTCTTTTTGCTGAGGAAGACTGGCCGTGAACTAATATCCATGTCCATCTTCCTCTACTTTATATGTAGGATGCCTACCACAGCATGGCTTTTGCCAAGTGGTGCCATGTCTGCACCCGGGATCTGAACCGGCGAACCCCAGGCTGCCAAGAAGTGGAACGTGTGAACTTAACCACTGTGTCACCAGGCCAGCCCCTAAGGGTTTCTTCAGCCTGAACATTGGGTGCATGTGTGAAAGAGAGAGGGACAGATTGAAAAAGAGTATAAGAATATATACTCTCAGGAGAGAAACATGGAAGCTCCTTTTCCCGTAAATTTCTCTAAAATTGCAGCATCAAAAGTGAAAGAAAACAAAAGGGGAAATGGGTTATAGATCTAAGTATCTAAGTTTGCATCTTTAATACTGGTGCTATAAACTCCTTAGTTAGTGCCTGAGCAAACTGCAGCCCTCAACCTCAATGGGTAATCTTTGGTGACCAATGCACTTTCCTCTCTTCCACAAGCCCTACTCGTAACAACTGCTCTACAGAAACCGCCATGAAAGAAGGTCATGGGAACGTGCCTGTAAGACCTATATGCAGAAGTTGTATTTACAAAGGGGTCCAATCACAAGGAAGATTGGCAGAGGCTCAAGTTAAGTTCAGATTCAGGGCCTTAAAAATACTGATGTCAATTAAAAAGCAACCTTTACTTACTTTTTATTAATTGAAAAAACAATTAATAAAATTTGCTTTCAAAAGTTTAAAGTTAGCAAGAAGCACATAAGAAAATAAAATTTTAAAACTTCAATTATATATCTTGCATCATATTTTAATCTAATTTTTGTTTTCTATAGGTTCTGCACGTCTGGAGGTCAAAATCTCTCAAGTTTAATCACATAGAATATCTAGAAAAAATCAAGAAAATCTCTTATAAATATTTGGTGACAATGAGATGCTTTCAAATTGTAGTGAGAAAGTAAGTTTTGTACACGTCTTTACAAGGCAGCAGCTATTTTAAAATTTGGGGCCTAATTTTAATAAGAACCTTAATATTGCCAGAAGTATAATGTTCCTTCTAGCTAATTCAAAACTAAATGTCAAAGGTAGATTTTAAATAAAAATCTTTAATCAATGTTGTTTCTAATACCTAAAATTTAACATTTAAAGTCATGAGAACCATTAAAATATAGATACGTTAAGCAATTATTATTACTATTTTCAGCAGATTCAAGGAAATATTTTTTCTTGTCCACATATTGCTTATACTAGAGCTGATCATCTGATCTGGAGTGTATAGATTAAGCAGCATCTTTGCTAGCTTGTGTTTTAATATTTATCAACTATATTTCTCATTGACTCTCCATTTGCATTTCTTATTTCACATACCTTGTGTAATAATTTTATTCGTTGCTCCTCGTGGAGGACAAGAACTCTCCTTCTCCATCTGTGGTTTTGCTCCCTCTATTTCTGGCAAGACAGTGTCCTTAGTTTCTTGACGTTCACTAGCATTACTGTCGTTTGGGATCTGAAGTAAAACAGGAAATCTTCTAAAAAATCTGCTTTCCACACAATTTTATGAATGTACGAAACCACAAAATCTCATAATTAAATTCATGTACTACTCTCACCATGCAGAATTACACACACAAAAGAACATCCCTGCTCGGGATCAGCACGCAGGCACGGACGTCGCAGCAGCGCGCACTTCAGGGCGCCCGCACCAGCCCTCTGCAGACCTGCGGCCCTGCTGTTTTCGTTTGTGATTTATGCACACCAAAGAAGTGAGCCCATAGTGGGGAGAAGAAGTAACAGTCTTCCTCCTCTGTCTAATTCCTGAAGATTACTCAACAAAACGTTTCTGGAATGAAAATACAACTAAACTGGAAAGGAGGTAAAGTATAATTTTACTTGGACTCATTTCATTTGAAAAATTATATAACTGAAAGAAAAATGAGAAAAACAGACCTGTCCTTCAGAAATTAAAAATTCATGCTTCCACTATTACTTACAGATAACATGTTTACATAGTTCATGGGTGTGCCTCAATCTTCCAGGCTTTTAATGGTAGGTAGTGTAGTTATAAAAGTGCTGATTTAGAAAAACAAGACATCTTGAGTTTGTGAGAATATTGTGAGGCTTCTCCCAAGGTCAAAAACAAAATAGAGTTGAGTTAGCCCTGGAAATGACATTTCAAATTTTGGGGGGGGGGGGGGGGGTGCGTGCGTGCATGTATGGGCACACACACGGGCCCGCACTTCGAGTGTATCGATGATACTTCGAGTGCAGTGGAGAGAGAATATCACATTGTCACAAGACATAGTAACAAAGGCTAGAGAGCATGGACAGATTAAGGAAGGGAAGAGGAAGCATGTAACCACTAGGGAGCACCACAGCTGCTGGCCTAAGCATTATGTAGGTCTTCAACATCAAAGTTCTGTAAACCTGATCATGTCTGGTGGAGTTCTAGTGTAGAGACTTTTTTTTGAAAGTCTGTCACTATACAAAAGGGCCAAGGTAAAGACACAAAGGTGGATTTTGATCAGAGTGGGTGAAAGGTCAGATACAGAAAAGCCATATTATTTTAGAATTTATAATAAATTGACAGACTAGGATGAAGTCTTTATAGATATATAAAATAATTAGAATCAATAGAATTAGAATCAATTTAAATATTTAAAAGGAGTTTTGGGCCCTTAAGAACTATAGAAACCTCTATTTTTAAAAATAAGCAATTTATAATTCTGAGTAATTATTATTTAGTAAAACTAGATCCACAAGAGGTCTAATGAATTATTTGGTATACTTGCAAAAATAAAAATTTGGGTCTCCTCAAATATACAGCACAACATTTTAATTAATTCAGATTTGTCTTTACCTCCTTTAGTCTAAATTACTGAGTTTTTCATGGACATGGCAAGAAATAATAAACCATATTTCCATTATTCCTAAAATCTGCCCTCTGACCTCTAAAACGATCTGTAGTCACCCCTCCCCATCTTTGCATTCCTTTTGCTCATTTCTTAGGATTTTTTTAAAACTAGCTATTTTAAAATGATCACTTCTCATTTTTTAACCAGACATATAAAAGAAACCTAGTAAGTATACTTACAGATAAATTTTAAGATAAGATTGATTTTTATGTTACATATTACAATGCAGTTTTAAGTTTTTACCTGAGGAGTTGTAGATGAATGGATGTTTTTATCCTCCAAATGTTCATTTTTTGATTCTGTGGTGTACATGCTAATATTTAAAAGAAAAATAATTTGAAAGAAAAAACAAAAGTATAAATCCATCTGAAAACAAACATGGTTAAGTGAGATTAATTTTTAATGACTTTTTTAATCATAAAGTTGTATCATAGGTCAGATATCTTTATAGTCAAAACAGCTCCAAATATTCATTTTAAATTAACCAAAGTCATGTGCATAGGTTTTGAAAACTATTAGCACACAGAAATTTAATACTTCTCAATAGTTCATAATGTTGGGCCACATCTTAAAAGCACATATCAGAAAACTCAGTTATTTATTTCATGCACTGAACTTGTATGTTTGAGAGAATTTCCACCACTGATTTACTCTGTCTTTACTCACACTCCTGCACAAGAAACTCCAAGAAAATTTAAAATTAAATACGATCAACTATATCAATACCTACATTTATAAGTTACTGATACATGCTGTCTTTATATGTGGTCCATTTGAAAGGTCTGTAGGCCCAACATTTAAACAAAATAAAATAGCTTTTATTTTGAATAAAATGAACTAGAAAAACAAAAAAGAATGAACTAGAACCACATCAAGAGAAGGGTTAGGTCTGGAAACTTTTATTTTAAAATACCTGTTACTTCTACGTTCTCTGTGAATTTTGCTGCCTTTGAGTGTCAGGAGAGTATCTTTGCCTTAAAAATATCTTTCAATTCTTGAGTTACTGTTGAAGACAGAATTAAAGATTTTAAGTTTTAATTTTTAGGTACTCAACAAAATCAAGTCTCCTAGGGTTACAAGTATCTATACTTTTTTAAAAAGGCAAACAATTTTAATAATGAAAAAGATCATTAACACGGGAGTACCCAGCATGTGCTAAGAGCTTTACACATATTGTCTCACTTTAATGAAGAAAATATTAGTGTGGAAAATCTTATAAGGGATCATAACTGAACTTAGGACATTAAAACAGAAAATAACATTTACTTTAAAAATTTCATGAAAAAAATTAGATCTCTAAGTTCCATTAAAGTAAAATTCCATTTTAGTTAAAGGAAATAGCAAAATTATGACCTTGTAAGAATGCCTGTCATTAACTGTTAGTGCAGGAGCTAAGTGACAGTCAGCTCGGTGAACAAGGAGGGTGGCAGAGCCACCTCAGCAGTGGCAAGTTCTGAAACGATGGGCTGAGAGTTAGTGCCATTAAAAACTGTGAGCTCCTGCACATGGGAGTCATGAGGTCAGGGCTCAAAGCACATCCACTCAGTACTTTTTGAATGCCTACTCTTCTGTGTTCTGAAGTCGCAGCAAAAAATAGGTTCTGCTCACAGAGCTTATATTCTTGTGGGGGGAAAGGGGAAGATAAAAAACAATATTTTCAGATTGTGATTAAGTACTGATGAAAGTAAACAAGATGATGTTACAGTGAGCACGGTGACATCTGAAAGAGGAGAAACTGTGAGATATAAGTAGGCAGATGGACTAGGAGCAGGCAGATATAACACCAAGAATCATATAAGCAGCAACATCAAGGCACCAGGCACCATATTTTAAGATCTGCGACGATGTCATAATTAGAGGACTTGGAATCAAAGCAAGCAGGCCATGCATCAGAGCTCCAAAACCTAGATGGTGAGCAGCTACAGAGAAGCTTGACACTGTGTCAAGCAGTCTTTGTGCATCCGTGCCCATCTTCTTCTGTTTTATGTGGGATGCCTGCCATAATGTGGCTTGATAAGCAGTGTGTAGGTGCACACCCAGGATCTGAACCAGCAAACCCCTGGCCCTTGAAGTGGAGCACACAAACTTAACTGCTACACCACCAGGCTGGCCCCAACTTGCCCATTTTTCTAAACGTATTTGCTATCTTTTTCTTACTGATTTATTGGAGTTCTTTATTTCTGTATTCTAGAAATGGATCTTTTATTGGATATATAAGTAGCCAGTATCATCTCCCACTCTGTGGCTTGTCTTTTCACTCTGATGATGTCTTTGAATGAACAGAAGTTTTTATTTTAATGTAGTCCAGTGTAACCTTTCCTTCCTCTATGGTTAGAGCTTTTATTGTTTTAGAAATCTTTGCCAACCCTGAGATCATAAAGATATTCTATATATTCTTCTAGAAGCATTAGTGTTTTGCCTTTCACATTTAGGTCTATGATCCATTTGGAATTGACTTTTACGTACAGCATGAGGAAGAGATGAAAATTCACTTTTTCCCAGATTGATATCTAATTGACTCAGCACCATTTGTTAAAAAGATCATTCTTTACTCATTGCACTGCAGTGTCACCTTTGTTGTAAATCAAGTGACCACATCTATGTGAATTTATTTTTGGATTCTATTCTGCACAACTGGCCTATTTTTCTGTCCTTACGCCAGTACTACCTTTGTGCTCATATAATAGGTACTGAGATCGGGTGCTGTAAATTCTCCAGTTTCGTTTTTCCTCAGAGTTGGATTGACTCTTTGGCTCTTTGTATTTCTACATAAATTTTAGAATCAAGCTGTCAATTCACCCCCTCACACACACACACACTCTCTCTCTGCTTGAATTTTGACTGAAATTGCACTGACTCTACAATTCAGTGAATCTACTATTGGTGAGAACTGATGTCTTAGCAGTATTGAGTTTTCCAATCCTTAAACATTGTATATCTCTCCATTCATTGAGATATTCTTTGTCTTAAAAATGTTCTGTAATTTTTAGTGTAGAGGACTTGCACATCTTTCATTAGGCTCATTTCTAGGTAGGATTCTTTCTAGGTATTGATGTTTATTTGGATGTTACCAAAATAGTATCATTTAAAAAATTCATTATTTGTTTTTTTCTGGTATACAGAAATATAAGTAATTTTGGTTTATTTTCTTTGTACCCAGGTCTTGATAAATTCACTTTATTTGAAGAATCTATTTTCTATTTCCTATCTTGGCTTTTATTGTCTATTAACTGGCATGGCCAATAATTTTTATTGAAAGCTTGATATTGTGTATAAAAGCTTTGTTACAGAGTCCAGATGATAGCTTCCTCCAGAGAGGACTATGTGGAGTGGAGGGAGGGAGTGCTAATCCCATTAAGCAAACCAGAGACTGAGCTCAGCTGAGACTGCTTCGTAAGACTCAGTTTTGCCTCAGTTTGTGCTGGTTCCTATGGAATAGTTCTCCAGAGATTTTGCCTTAGATGATGTCCCCAATAAATTATGGTAGCCTCACTTGTTTTTCCAGATCAGGGATACCTTACCATTTCCCCTTGGCTCACTCCTATTGTCCATGCTTTCCTGTCATTTCCAAGGTCACACAGCTATAAAAAAAGGAGTAGGGGCCCAAATCAGGCAGACTGGCTCCAGAGCCCACACTTAAAACTAAAGTGCCTACAATATGTCAGACACTGTGCCGGACATAGACCAAAGCTCTCACAGGTTTAGATGCTAAAATTTAGAAAATGGCTATAATAAATTAAATCTATTTTTAAAAAGAGAAAAAAATCTATCAAATATCTATCTCACTTTTTGGCTTTTCTATTTTAGAAAAGGAACTATTAAAGACAAGGGCTTTAGAAGAATAAACATAGTTAAAATGTCCATACTACCCAAAGCAATCTACAGATTCAATGCAGTCCCGACCAGAATGCCAATGGCATTCTTCATGGAAATAGAGCAAAGAATCCTAAAACTTATATGGGGCAACCAAAGACCCTGAATTGCTAAGGCAATCCTGGTAAAAAAGAACAAAGCTGGAGGTATCACAATCCCTGACTTCAAAATGTAGTACAAAGCCATAATGATCAAAATGACATGGTACTGGTACAAAAACAGACACATAGATCAATGGAACAGAACTGAAAGCCCAGAAATAAAACCACACATCTATGGACAGCTAATCTTCGAGAAAAGTGCCAAGGACATACAATGGAGAAAAGATAGTCTCTTTAATAAATGGTGTTGGGAAAACTGGACAGCCACATGCAAAAGAATGAAGGTAGACCATTATGGCACACCATACACAAAAATAAACTCAAAATGGATCAAAGACTTGAAGATAAGTCCTGAAACTATAAAACTCCTGGAAGACACAATAGGTAGTACCCTCTTTGACATCGAACCGAAAAGGATCTTTTTGAATACCGTGTCTTCTCAGACAAGGGAAACAAAAGAAAAAATAAACAAGTGGGAGTTCATCAGACTAAAGAGCTTCTGCAAGGCAAAGGAAACCAGAATCAAAACAAAGAGACAACCCACCAACTGGGAGAAAATATTTGCTAATCATCTATTTGACAAAGGGTTAATTTCCTAATATATAAGGAACTCACACAACTGAACAATAAAAAAACTGGATCAAAAAATGGGCAGAAGATATGAACAGACATTTTCCCAAAGAAGATATACAGATGGCCAGTAAACACATGAAAGGATGTTCAACATCATTAATCATCAGGGAAACGCAAATCAAAACTACACTAAGATACCACCTTATTCCTGTTAAAATGGCTATGATCACTAAGACTAAAAATAACAAATGTTGGAGAGGGTTTGGAGAGAAGGGAACCCTCATACACTGCTGGTGGGAATGCAAACTGGTGCAACCACTATGGAAAACAGTATGGAGATTGCTCAGAAAACTAAAAATAGAACTACCATATGACCCAGCTATCCCATTACTGGGTATCTACCCACACAACTTGAAATCAACGATCCAAAGTAACATATGCACCCCTGTGTTCATTGTAGCACTATTCACAATAGGCAAGACATGGAAGCAACCCAAATGCCCATCGATTGATGACTGGATAAAGAAGACGTGCTATATAGATACAATGGAATACTACTCAGACATAAAAAAAGACAGATTCATCCATTTGCAATAATATGGGTGGACCTGGAGGGAATTATGCTAAGCAAAATAGGCCAGCCTGAGAAAGACAAACACCAGATGATTTCACTCACGTGTGGAATATAAACAAACACGTGGACAAAGAAAACAGTTCAGTGGTTACCAGGGGAAGGGGGTGGAGGATGTACACAGGAGGTGAAGGGGAGCACATATGTGGTGAACAGACAAGAAATAATGTACAACTGAAATCTCACATCGATATAAACTATTATGAACTCAATAAAAAAAAATAAGGGCCTTAGGATAAACTTGAAAATAGAGTATAGGGGCCGGTCCGGTGACACAGCAGTTAAGTTCACATGTTCCGTTTCCTCAGCCCGGGGTTCACCGGTTCGGATCCCGGGTGCAGACATGGCACAGCTTGGCACGTCATGCTATGGGAGGCGTCCCGCATATAAAGTAGAAGAAGATGGGCATGGATGTTAGCTCAGGGCCAGTCTTCCTCAGCAAAAAGAGGAGGATTGGTAGCAGTTAGCTCAGGGCTAATCTTCCTCAAAAAAGAAAAAAAAAGAAAAAAGAAAATAGAGTATAAATAACGAATAAGTCATAGAAGGCAAAAATTAATTAGAAATAGCTCATTTGAAATCATTTACAAAGGTGTTAAGAACTCTGGCTATCATTTCATAGCCTCTTATCCAACCCTTTTTACTGAGCACTCTGGAACTTCTGCTAGACAATTACAAACTCTCAACCTCTTCTCAGGGCATTCTCTCAAATTCTGTGTCCTATCTGAAAGTACTTTTTCCCCCACAGTCCTCTTACATAATAGCTGTTGATTTGCTTAACTCATTCTGACAACTCACTGCTATTTCTAAACACTAGTTTTTAAAATT